GGGGGGGGGGGGGGTGTCGCGTTAATTTTGGACTCACGAGGGAGAAGCCCGGGGAAAGAAAACACAACTTCAGACTCCACTCCCACCTGCACCCGGGGTTTCCTGGTCACGAGCTGGCCTCTGAAGCTGCGGCGCCGAAGCCCAGGGAGGCCCCGCTGCCCACGTCTCACCCTCGGGGTTACTTTTACTGCACGAAGCGGCTACTGGAGGCTGCTCTTGCTGCGGCAGGGGCCGGGGAGGCCTCTCTCCAGCCCCACAGGGCCCTGAACCGCGGGCCGACCTCAGCCGCCTCTTCCCCGTTTCGACCACCGAGCTGCATTCCTCAGTCGCCGCCGCTTTGCGCGGCGTGTTCTTCAGGCCAGGGCTGTCCCCATATTTTCTTCGCCGACTCATTGCGTAGGACGCCCTCCACCAGCCGCTTCTCCTTTCACATTTTGCAACGGGAGGAGTAGAGCAACGGAACTACGGAACTACAAGCCGAACCCCGCGCCAACGGCCGCCGCCATTTTGGCCGCTGAGACGCTCGTAAGAGGCGGGCTCTGATTGGCTGCGTCCGGACGAGGGGCGGGGCGGCCAGGGTTCAAGCGGCGCGCTTTGGCAGCCCGCGCAGCGAACCTGCTCTACTCTGCTCGGATTCGTCAGGATAGGAACTGGTTGTAAGGGACAGCCGTCTGGCCACCGTAGCTGAGAATGAGAGCATGCGACGTGGAAAGACTCCACTGGCATCTTTGTATTGAGTTTACTCGGATTCAGGTTCTTGTGGGGTTTAATATTTCGAAGAGGAAATACAGGTATAGATTAAGAAGGAAGGCATGAAACTTCTTTCATGGAGGATATGTGCATAGAAAATCAAAACATGTAGGAAAAGTTATTAAATTCATAAATTAACAGAGTTGCTGATATGAAGTCAATATTCGAAGATCAAGCATGCTTCAATAGATTAATAATAAATGTAACATTGACTTTTTTAAAAAATATGATTTATAGTAGCATACAAGGTATCAATTAACTAGGAATAGATTTAACCAGATTGCAACACCCCTACAGAGAGAATTATGAAATAGTTTTGAAAGAAATTGAAGACCTAATAAATGGAGAATTATACTATGTTCATAGGTTGCAAGACTCAATATTGTTATGATGTGCTTCCCAAATTTATCTATAGATTCAATGCAAATCCATTCAAAATGGCAGTAGGTGTGTGTATCTATTAGTGTAATTTGGCAAGTTTATTTTAAAATGAACATGGAAATGCAAAAGGCTAAAAATATCCAAGGAACTCTTGAAGATCTCCTGAAAACAACAAAGTTGGATCTCTACCAGTTAGTTAAGACAGTGTGGCGATGGTGAAAGGCTAGACAAATAGATGAAAGAAACAGAATTAATGGCTCAGATACAGATGTCTACATAAATGTACAGTCGATTAAAACAAAGATGACCCTCCTGAGCAGTGTGAAAAGGACTTTTTGATAATAGTGCTTAGTCAATTTGATATACACATGGAAAAAGAAACTTAATCTCTGCCTCAAACCATATCCTCAAATCAAATGCAAATTGATTATATATTGAATTGTAAAAGATAAAATAACATTCTATAAGATGGTATAAATTGTCTTCATTACAGAAAATGAATTTTAAATGGAATAAAAAGTCACCAACTATAAAGAAAATAATTATAAATGTGACTACATTAAATTCATAACTTAAGAACTTCTATCTGTCCAAAGACATTAAAGAGAATGAAAGGCAAGGCTCAGATTGGGAGAAGATATTTACGATATGCAAAATTAAGGGCCCATATATAAAATATATGAAGAACAGATATAAATCACTAAGGAAATGATTCATCACTGTTAAGAAAAATGGGTCAGATATAATACTTTAGCAGTCTCTGAAAAAGAAAATCAAAGTGATCAACAAACTTGTGAAAAGTTTGTTTGCTCAAAACTTGCTCAACCTCATTTGTAATGAGGAAAATGAAAATTAAAACCACAATATGATACTCTTTTACACCCATCAGAATAGCTAAAATTAAAAAGACTGACAATAGGGGTATCAAGTAAGTAAAACAGTGATGGAACCACAGCCACAGCTAACCCAGAGCCAGAGGCCCCAATCAATGGGAACTGTCACGGAACTGCTGGTGAGGATTTGACTTGGTCCAACAATTTGGAAAACGGGTTTTGATCTAGCAGTTCCACTCCTAGGACTATAACCAATGGAAATTCATGGACTTGTGCATCAAGATACATTTTATAAAAATGCTTTTAGCAGGTAAATTCAAAATTACCCTAAACTGGAAGCCAACCCAATACCCTTCAGCAGTAGAGTGGGTAAATATATTGAGCTATATTTGCTCAACAAAATGCTACATAGTAATGAAAATGAAAAACTACAGCTCCTTTCAACAACAAGGAAAAAAATCTCATAAACGTAAACTTGAGCAAAAGAAGCCAGACTACCTACTCCTTCCTCTGCAAGAATAGTATATAACTCCATTTACATGAATTCCAATAGGCAAAATTAAACTATATTGTATAGGGATGTAAGTTTAAGTGATAAAATTATAAAGAACAATCAAGAAAGTGATTACCATAAAAGTCAGGATAATGGTTACTTAGGGGAAGCGAGAAGAGGCAATGATTAGGAGCCAAGAGGGAGGGGGAGGATCTGATGTGTTGGCTTTGTTCATTGTCGTGTTTTAGTTGCTGGTTTTGTGATAATTTATTGAGCTGAACATGCCATTTTGTTTACTTTCCTGTATACATGTTATATTTATCAATAAAAATGTTTTAACATTTTAATGTAAGGAAAAATCTTTGTTTCTACTGAAGAACTGATTTATATTCCTTTTTTGTAATTTACTCTTTTTATTCTTTAGTTTGGCTGACAGGAATCCTAGACCTAAATTTGAGGTTCTAGCAATTATGTAAAACATCGTGATCAAATAATTATTTTCTTTTTCCTCAAGCACTTGACTTTCGACTAATGTTTCTGTTGCCATTGTTGCAGGAGAAGAGGAAGGGAGAGAAAGGTCATGTCCCAGGTCTCAAGCAAAGTCCTGGGATGGGCCACCAAGTGAGGGTCCTTTGCGCAGGAAAACCTTCAAGAGCCAACGTAAAATGAAAGCAAGTTTATTTAGAGAGATACACATTCCATAGGCAAAATGCAGACCATTTCAGAAAGTGAGAGTGCCCCAAGGTATGGAGGTGGTTAGTTTTTATGGGCTAGGTAATTTCACAGGCTAATGAATGGGAGGAATATTCTAACTATTGGGGGGAAGGAGCAGGGATTTCCAGGAATTGGGCCACAGCCCACTTTTTGGCCTTTTATGGTCGGCCTCGGAACTGTCATGGCACCTGTCATGGTGCTGGTGGGTGTGTCCTTTAGCTAATGTATTACAGTGAGGTTCAAGGTCTACTGTAAGTCAAATCTTCTGCCACCTTGGGCCTAGTTGGGTCTAACCAGTTTTTGTCGTACCCTATGTCATTCTTTTAATGGTTGTGTCCTATCCCCTTCCTTCCTGTCTTCCTTCCTGTCTGATTGTTTTTAATCTACATATTTTAAAACCATTATTTGGTTTTATACATTTATAACTGGATATGACTGCTTGGGAGGTCACATCTCTTAAAATTCAAATTAACTTCTTGAGCCTCTAATTGTCTAAATTAATAGGAATACTGTAATTTTTCTTTGGGATCTCTCCTACCTCTCAACTGACCAAGAATTCCAGAAGCAGAATAAAAAAACTCAAATGTATACTACAACATTTTCTTAAATAAATGGCATCATAGCTATCTAAGACCGAATTTATCCTAAAAACGTCTAACTCACACTTAGAGAATAGTTAAAGTGTTTGAAGAATTTAATAATGCTTATAGGAGTAATAACCATGTAGTAATCCTTTAAAGCATATTAATATTGCACATAAAATAGCAAGGAATAATTTCCCCTAACTGTCCAAATTCTGTAGTGCCCAGGTAACCCTTGTAAAAAGGGGCAACTTGAGCTCAAAAAACAGGCATGTGTTGTTATCTTAGCACCCCCAGGATGGCTGTAATCTGTAATCATTATGTGGTAGGAAACTATCATAAACTTTAGTTTTAAAGTTACTTAATTCACACAATCTGTTACAGTTCTAAACATAGTTCAAATTAAATGTGCTTCCTGAATATAACTCCTGAAATGAATACAGTACACTTAACTTCTGGATAAAATGTTTTAATAAACAAAAGATAAGTCTTGTAGACATCTGAATGCAATATGATTCAAAATGCCAAAATAACGTTTCTAGGCATTTGAATAACATGTACATATAAGTAAGTTTTAGTACAACTAAAAACTTTTTAATAAACCAGAGTTAAATTCTGACTTGTTTTACCTGCAGAAATTATCCATAAGTTTAACAGTGATTATTAAGCAAAAATTTGAGACATTGAGAGCCTTTCTAAGGAGCTTTTGTGTGGAGTGATTGCCTTGTCACTTATATTATAATGGTATTATCTTCCGGATCAATGGCCAATTGTAAGAGGTCTTTGTTTCAAGAAAAAAATAATTAAAATCATAATGTCCTATTAGTAGCACACTTTGTGTACAGAGCTCTACCCCAGCTCCAAATCTATCAAGATACAATTGACAGAATCTGAATAGGCAACAAAATGACTATAGAATATTTTTAATAGTGTTGTTACTGTGTTTCTTAAATATACCCCAGAATGCACTTGGGTAAGTACCCGGCCCATTTTTCCTCAGCCCCGACCTACTGGCAATTTTTTTAAATTAATTAACTAACTAGTTAATTTTTTCATTGAAGTATAGTTGATTTACAATGTGTTAGTTCCAGTTTTTAGATTATTTTCCATTATAGGTTATCACAGGATATTGAATATAGTTCCCTGTGCTATACAGTAGTTCCTTGCTGCTGGCAATTGTAATTAAAATCACCTACCATGTCTATCCCTCTATTGGGGGAGCTACTCCATGGAGAGCCTCTGCTGCCCAGGTGATCCCTGATTGGAGTAGAGATGGGCTCTTGACTTTGGGAGCCAATCCATAGGTTGACTCTCCACCTCTGACTGTTACAAAAAGATACACTGGGACAATCATATTTCCTCTTGGAGGCTTGAAGTAAGAATTTGCTAGAGGGCCCTGCGCAAAAACATGGAGCGGGGGCAGAAACTCTGAGGAAACCTTCTAATAGTGGAACCAAAAGAAGCAACGTCAGGATCGTTGGGATGAATATTTATAGATTTCAGATACTGGAAACTGAACAACCATTCAGCTCCAGGGTCCCTAAGACCAGGTGCTATTGTAATTCCAATCATTTCCTTTTCTTTTTCAATGAGAGCCCTTACAGTAAACTTCCTTTCCTTGAGCTAGCTAATGCCAGTAAGTCTGTATTCCTTATAAGCACAAAAGCTGAACTAAAACAAAGCTTTGGCTTAAGGGTTATGGTCTACTTGTTTCTCAATTTTTATTAGAAGGCACAAATTGGGAACAGAAATACCCGC